TGACATCATTTTCATATTTGATAATAATATATTATAAACTAGCTGATCCCGTGCACTTCGTTACCCGTTAAATGTACCAACTCTATATGACTCAAACTTCGTTCAATTCGCTATTTAATATTCGGTGTACGGTGTTCAAAATTTATCTTGACTCTTCTGTTGCCTGGGATAAAAATTCTGATTCCCAACAGTATATTATCAAGTAGGCAATCTACCTGCGGTAGATCGCGGACCCCGTGCTATTTGTGCGTAACTTTATAATTTAATTCTAAAGTACCTATCAAAGTTATACCAAGTATGTCACTGAAATCCTCCTAAACGGCTGAACTAACTGTGAATGCCGAGTCTGTCGACCAATATTTCCTCCTCATACACGCAGATGTGGCATTGTTTTATGTATGTAACTTATATATGTGAGTATAATACGCTCAATATTTACGTAATTGCGATACATATAATATCAAAACCCGTGGCGACCATTTATAAACAAAAATGTCCACTGTAAATCTCTAAATCCCCGTTTGAGCACATTCCCTGGTTCGACATTTTAAACCTTTTAAATCTTCTCCTGACAATTACGAACATCTTAAATAAAATTTAAGCCAAATCGGTCCGGCCGTTCTCGAGTTTTAGCGAGACTAACGAACAGCAATTCATTTTTATATGTATAGAACTAGAAGATTATAATATTTTATATTTATAGATCTTCTTAAATGTACCCCCAAAATAAGACTATGCCATTTGTTATTTTTGTCCGTCCCTGCTCGTGAAACTTGATTATAGCCCGAGAGCCCAAAACGGCTTCCGACCACTGGTCTTAACAATGAAATGTTCTTTCTTATTTTCGGTAAAAACTAGTGAATTATTTTTATTTATATTTATTTCTACAGAATAATAATGGGCCCCACTGAACGTATGGTAGTGCGGGGCCCACGAAGAATTAACCAACTATACAGTCACGTTTTGTTCGTACAAGCACTTTAAAAGTTCCTGGTGGAAGTGCTAAAAGTAATATTTAGTAACAACGGGAAAACAGTGTTTAAAGGGGTATCAATACCGAACGTTTATAAGGAGTTCAGTATAGGCAATTTTCTGTGTGTGTTTGTAAATGTGTACGTAGTAACTAGTAAGTGATCATTACTGAGAGTGACTGACGACTGTATATAAAATAAAACATAGCGGAGGGCTCCCGCACTTACACGATCGTGCCAATAACTCAGCACAGGCTAATTACAAAATATGTGCATTTTAGTGAAACACTGAAACGTAGTTTCGTATTTTCAATAAATTATAGCTTATACTGAGTGACATTGTAGTACGAACACTCGTTATACAAATAATTATTGAAGAGAAGAAGTTTATTCAGGCCTGTATATGAGTCGATCTTCGATATTTTATTTTCAATGTCCAATATTCAGCTCCAAAACTTGTGATATTTTACGAATTTGAATTATTGAGTTTAGTAATTAAAATACCGAATAACATACAAAAATTAATTTTCATAGAATATCTCCATACTATTCAATGGCAGGGTGAACTTTTTTCCTATGAAGCAGCCTTAAATAAGTACCTACCTACACATTAATTTTTTCCCAATTTACATTTATCTTTTCACACATATTAAACGCAGGTCGTATGTGACTATGCGACTATTAATTATAAGCTAGTCCAACCTTCTATAAGTCTTGGAGACTGTAGTCATCCGGATACCCACCCACACTTGCATGAGCTATAGGCGGCCGTCTCATAAAATAGATATTCACATCGCCACCACTGCATTATTCACACCCCTTAATTGACGGTGGGTACAACTGTCGATGAATTAGAATTCTTGAATAAATAATACATTTTATTAACCATGTTGTATTAAGCGATTAAAAACTTTTTCAAAGACTACCTACTTCAAATATTTTGAAAATTGCATTATGTGCCTAATTCCCATGTAAAACATAATAATATACTTTAAAAGTTTCAAGTATACCCAAGCATAATATTTTTAAATGACAAAAAAAAACTTAAGTTGTTATTCCGTGTTTAAAATATATCTAATTTCGTCCAAACTTGGTCTCAAAATATCTATAGATATAAAAAATATTATCTATTAATTGTATTCCTAAAATTGATGTCTACTAAAATTATCAAAGTACCCAAGAGCTACATTTGTTGTGATTTTTACTTTTAAGTAAATTTTAATTCATTTGAATTCAAAATAAAATTATTTCAATATACTTGTATACTTTCTATCTTAGATTATAAATTGTTGTTTTATTAAACTTTCTCGTACAAAATATTATAACTTTACTATGGTCATACCTATAATATAATATAATATTAAGTGGATTGAGTGTCTCAATTGTCGGGGCGTCCGATACAAAAATATCTATTTGCAGTATGTAATTATCAATACTTGTTGCACAAACTACACAAAATTATCAATCTTAGAAAAAACTCGTCCTTTAGAACAGTCGGCTCTCGTTAATTTTTTTTTAATTTAAAGAAAAGAATATTTTTTGGATCGGATCAAAGCTCGATTTTTAAAATTATAATTTTAGAAGGCTTCTATAAGAATCTAAAATATACATTTGAATAATGTAGGTACAATATTTGTTATTTTTAAAACTTGTTTCAAGCACTATTTAAAGTAAAATGAAAATTCGGGTTTTCATTCGACCTGAAAAAAGTTCTCATCTTTTAAATAAAAAAAAAAATGATCAAAATTTGATGTATAAATGAGGCGTGAGAGTACCTATTTTCTGTGAAGTCATTTTTGTCATATTCTGATAATGTGTGTTTGAAAATATTGTATGGGTTAATATTCTGAACGTAATTTCAAAGTTAAAACAAAAAGTTAACGTATTTAGTTTATTGTTCTCCAGGGCATATTAAAATTGGATTTAACAAGGAAATTCAATGGGTAGCAAGATGGCATTTTTCGACAGTAATTTTAAACTGATTATTATTGTAATATTGATACTTTATTTGTTTAAAAAAAAAAAACAAGATTACATATTAAATTATGTACGCGGTAGATAATTATAATGATAACATTGCGAGCACTTGAAAAAAAAAATACATTAGGTATTATGATTTAAGAGTGTAATATTAGAAACTTGGCGCAAACACATAATATAACTGACCAAAATTCATTCAATGGCCACAAGCCTTGGTGCCAAAACACTGTATACAGTAAACACTTATTTTAAATGGATAATGCAACTAAAAAAAAAAACAAAAAGTATACATATTACATCATAATGTATGCAATATATATATATTATATAATATGGAATATTATTAGTTGGTGCAGGTCGTTGAAATTATGTTTAATATAAATTAATAAGGAATAAATAAAAAATAATAAAATTATGGTACACAGAAAAATAATAGCAGTGGGACTTCAACCGTAATTACAAAAAAAAAAATAATAATAATTGTTTAACACATAAACCTAATATATACATTTATTAAATTATTAATAAAATATAAACAAAGACGGTTGTTTTTTTTTTTCATCGAAAATTCGCGTCCATTTACAATCTTGTTTAGATGAAGCAGTCACAGTTTTTTTTTTGTTTCTATACAATATCAAAATTACCAATTATAATTGTCTTTACTCTTAATTTCGTTTCTTAGCCATTAAATATATTATGAATAATTGTTTTTCTAAATAATAGTAAAAAAAAAAACTACAATTTTGGTTTTTATTTTCCACTTGAACAGTAGTAGAAAATATAAATAGACACCAAGCATCAATGCACTAATTATCAGTTTTCACTGAGTATTAAGTATAATATAATATTATTATTAATTATTATTATAATAATATCATAGTTAATCAATGAAAGGACGAGATTAATATATTTTCGTAAAATTTTTGTATAAATTCAACAAGATTATTTTCTATTATAATATATTAATTCTCCTATTAAATGATTCTCAAATTACAATTTACAGATGTATAAATATATAACTTATAATATATATCAATAGAATATGATTAAGATGAACCTATGGGTTTTGTATTGTTATTATTATTATTATTATTATTATTATTAATTCTAGTTTTGTCTTTTTTTTAAAATAATATTTAACGAATAACAAATTATTTACTTTGAACTATCGTAAGGCATACATAATAATATATAATTTTTTTTTTTTAATACTATTAAGTCCTATACTTATACCATGTTCAGTATTTACAAATCAATATTTTGATCTAAAAAAAAAATTATACTCCTAACATGTGAAATACTCAATATCTTGTTTTGTCAGACTCATTTATGCGTTTTCCTTTTGATTTTAATAAACCACATTGACTCTTATCCGTTTCCAATTTTTAGACTACAATTCTTATGTAAAATTTAATATTTCTAAAGGAAGGGATAGGATGTCACAGGGAATACATTTAAGGTTTTTTGGTAATAATATGGTAATATCAAATTGACGCATTTTCTGAAATGCATTTATGTGCAGCTTTAAAAGCAAATTTTGTTTGAAATATAATCAACAACTTTCCTCTTTCTTGGAAAAACGGAACTATACTACTATATCCACATTAAAGAGAAAATATTGAAGAAATAATAAGATTTTACCAAATGCGAAGGATAAAATTAAGTTACACAAACGCATATATTATGTATATACTATATATACATGAGATATATATATATTATATATTTATGAATATAAAACTAATCAGGCACAAGCTTACAATAAAAAAAAATTCTTGCTGGGAAATTCTTTAATAAAAACTTAAAAGTTATAGGAAATAAAAATACATTGTCCGTTTGAGAATTGGATACAATTCAAATGGGAACTAATTTTCACTTGATAAAAACCAAACGTGTCGTATGAGGAAAGAGGATAATGTTTGAAAATGTTAATGTTATCAGTAGGTCCTATGTATTCAGTGGAAACAACAGGGTGGGAACTTTATGACCAACTGTTAAACGCAACTTAGGGTGTTCCACATACAAGACACGCCTGCTGAGTAGAATTGACTAGTTGAAATAATAGAACACGAGGCATTGGGCCAAGACCAACACTAATGCAGTTATTGACTTGGTAGCAATAGCACCATTCACTTCAACGTCGCTTTCATCAATCAAAACTTTATCGATTACATGTATGATACCATTGGTGCAACGGACATCGGAACGGTGGACATGTATCCATTCATTACGCCATTCAATCGAGTAACCTAAACAAATAATTATTATTGAAATAGTTATTCAAAGTTAATAAATAAAAACAATATATTTTACATAAAATATTTAACCCAATAATTTAAAATTATAAAGGTATCTACCTACATTTTATTTACAGACTAAACCATCTTACAATCCATCTTTCAATAAATTAAAAACTATGAATTCAGAAGATAAATTAATTACCTATTACATTGTAAAGGTGTGAGGAGCCATTACAGAATGAATTTTTTATTCAAATATACTGATGTCTGATGCTATTATTATGTATTATATGGGCATTTTCTAACCAAAGCACACTTATTTTAGAAAATATTTTTTTTACAAATTATAAGTTGTTATAATACAAAAATAATAATAAAAAAATAAATTTATCTTTAATGTTTATAGGGTGGCAGATCAGGTTTCCAAATTTTCCTCAAATCTATGAAACTATTTTATATTTTAGTTGCTAACTTGTATTTAGTTATATAGGTACCTACCATACATAATATATATATTATTTATAATAAAATATAACTACTGTAATGGTGGTAAACACATTGCTGTATCATGCTATAAAAGTTTTCTTGCTTTTAGGAAAAAATTAGATTTTTTTAACTTTCTAATACTTAACTTATGTCTAATAAATCAATATTTCAGTGAAATTTAACTTTAAAATTTTTAATATGGGATTCAAGGTGCCAATTTAATGCGCATTTTATCACTAAGAACAATAACATTTTGAATAAGAATAAATAATATATTCTCAACAAAGAGTGTTTGGTATAAACAATTAATAAAATTCATTATAATTGTTTTGTAAGGGGGAGAGAAATCGTGATCTCAAAAAAATTAAATTATGTGCTACCTATATAATTGTCAACGAATAACTAATGGTTGAGACATTTCAATAAGAAAAAAATGTATTATAATCAGAAAGTAATTATAATAATCATTAATTTTTAAATGACATTCAGTTTTCGACGGGTCGTACCTTCAACAGAGTCTTTGATTTTGATATACATGGAAACGTCGCGTACAGTAGGAAGATGGACTGACAAATTGTAATTATTATTGGCTTCTTTCCTCAAATCGTCCATTGTAAATACTTTATCCGCAATGATCAAATGGCGTTCCAAAATCTGACGAGCCTACACAAGAAAATCACACAAGTTTAACAAAAATTACTTTGCGGTACAGCAAACATTCACTATAGGTATTTCGCAAAAAATGCGATAATCAGCCTCTACTATAAAATATATTATATACTTACGATGTTCGAGTATTCGGGCATGAACAATTTTTTGTATGCTGATGGGTTATCGATTGCCAACCTCTTCCAAGCAAAGTCTCTGGGCACAAAATAAGTGAATCTCTTTTGGACGTCGCCTAGTTGATCGTTAAGTGAGGACACTTGGCCGAGATAGTTGGTTTCACTATAGTTAATCAATATTGAATACATTAGTATTATAATTTATAACTATTACAATTCCGTCAACTACATTACTTGTAGACCAGAATAATTAATAGATACTAATCAACACGCATAGAAAAAATATAAATTTTTTCTTGAACATTAATTTATCAAAAATATTATGCATACAATTATTTAATAGTATAAACGATTTTCCGGTGCACGAGACTCTTCGTCACACGGCAGTTATCACGGTAACTTACTTGAGCGTGGGGTCAGTGGCCAGTTTGCGGTCGACTGTCGATGATGGAATGCCCAGTACGTGGTCAATGATGTGTATGATTCCGTTTGTAGCTGCTAAGTTAGCCTGGACCACGGTAGCGTTCACGCCGCCACCCTCCAGGGTCAACGTGCGGTTCTTACCGCTGGTGACCACGTTGAAGAACAGATCCTTGCGGGGCACTTCGGTTTGGACCTGAAAGCGCTGATCCATTGTAGACGGGAAAAAAAACCAAACAAAACAAAAATGAAAATCATGCACGCTCATGCTATTACACAATAAAATAAACACAACATAATCGCCTACGGCCTACTGTTAAGTATATATAGATAATATAAATCAGGGCTTGAAACCGGTAACCGATTTTTCCCGGTAACCGGTTACCATGAGTACTTTTTGGACTGGTATCCGCTTCCCGGTTCTCGAGTTTCAATTTTGAGAAGCGGTTATCAATTACCGGTAATCACGGAATTTGATAAAGGGGAAATCTATAACGGTAACCGTTTATTTTTAGAACCGGTTAATTAATCGGAAGTATACAAAACCGTAAATCTCAAACCAATTAACTTAAAAATAATTTTTTTTAATTTTATTGAATATTCTAAATAGAAGAAAATAATATTTATAAAATACTAAAATAGATTATTTTAGAATTACTAAGTATTAAAATTTAAAAATACCAAAACAAGCGTGTTTGATTGCGGAATCGTATCGGCGCACTAACAAAAGATTCTCAGTAGTCAGTACCTATGATATAGGTACTGAATACTGATACGAATGGTAGAAACATCGACGAATGCGGGCTGATACATATATATATAATAGTATATAACTCTTGCATGTACGATATTGTACCAAGTACTAGGTAATAGGTAGGTTATATAACTTATAATCAGGGACTGTTTTGATATTCATTATTTAATAATAAGTTCGTTACATTAGTTCGTAATAATAGTAATACTGAACAAAACTGTGTAGTACTATACTAAACATGTTAAGTTTGATGAAAAAAAATAGAGTAGGTATTAAAACAAAAAAAAAAAAACGGTTTTGTGAGGTAACCGGTAATTTTGAAGATTTAAAACCGCTTCCAAATAGATAACCGGTAATCCCATTTATAAAATTTATTTCGGTAAGCGGGAAATGATTATCATTATTTCTAAAAACCTCGATAACCGGTAACCGCTTCCAAAAAATTTGCCGGGTCCTATCGGACCCGGTAACCTATTTCTTCAGGAGCGGTTTCAAGCCCTGATATAAATTAATAATAAACTGAAGTAAAGTGGAGGTACAATTAAATTATTTGTTTAATAAATTTCAATAATTAAAGTACCTACGAACGACGTGAAATCTAAACTCAGTACTTACATGAGTAAGTGGTGGATTCTGATCGTTTTTAAAAACGAGTTTAGGTACAGGCCGTCTACACTCTAGAGGTAAGATCAATAATGTAACTAAGTAGGTAACTACTTTTTTAATTATCAAAATAAAGTACTACGTAATTATAAAGTGTACGAAGTAAAAATACTATTTAAAAAGATACCACTTTGAACGGAAAACTGTTTAAAATAAAACTTGTTTGCATGACGTACCCATCTATGCTACACTTTAAAAGTAAGTAGGTAATAAGTAATAACTAATAAGTCAATAACTGTAATGTTAGGAACGAACGGCAATTATACAATTAGTAAAACCTATAAGTATCTATATAGTTGATTAAAATGTACAGCACTTTTTTTAATAAACTAGTTATGAATAAATACACGAAACTTTTAAATTACATGAGTGGAGCGAGGAACCTATCTAATGTCGAATTTATTTAAAGCAAAATCATTAAAACAGAAATCAATAAAAAAAAAGTTATATTAAGGATACAAACTGCAGGATTAGTGATTACTATAATGCATATCAGTTTAAGTTACGAGAAAATGTTTTAAAATAACGTATTAAAAACGTTAAGTTTAATAAGGGTAATTCGAAATTGTGAGATCTTATGTGAAAGTATTTTATAGTATTTGATCCATAGTATACTTTAACATACTTGTAAACGAATGTCTACAATAAAGAGAAAATTATAATACGTCACCCATATCATATTTCCTACAGCGCTTTATTCTTAGTTTTGTTATTATAAAACACCTAGATAATATTGAATGATAACCTAAAATGATAATAAAATTTAAGAAAAGGTCGAATAAAAACTGATAAGATGGATAAATTCCAAGGTTAATTAGTAAATGCATACAGGTTTTCCATATTAATTAATACGATTAGAAGACCCAAGCCTCGGCCATGACCAAACAGAAAACAAAACACCTATATATAGACACGGCACGTGTGGCCACCACCATATTTTCTTTTAATAATAAATTTCTTTAAATTCTGATTTTCAGAATTTTAAAGTATACTTAAAGACCATTTTATGTGTATGCCATGTGTTAATTCGTTAAAAAAAATATGTGTTCCTGAATTATTATTATACTAATTATTATTCTTAACTATACTAAAGTAATACATGATAATAAAGATTTTAAAGATTTACTAATGTGGTTTGAAAATATTAAACAAATAATATTAATAAATGTTTGTAAATCAGGTTTGAGTATAGTGTATGTACCTACGTACTGTACAAAATATTACGTTTATTTTATATTTTGCGTAAAACAATTATAAAGGATTATCACCTTTAGACTTTGGTACACATTAACAGCTCAGAAAGTATTCATTCAAATTTTGATATAGAACATTTTTTAATAAATCACGTACTTAACAATTTACAGTAAAAAGTGGGGATTTTATTTTAAAAAAAGGTTTGTTAAAAAATGGCCATAAGATACTTCTTGAATGGTAAAAAAATTGAAGTAGATACCAGAAAATACGGCTTTCATTTTAACTTAAAAATTCCTGAAAATCATAATTTCAATATAATAATATTATGAATTATGAATGCATAAAGAGGGAGTGAGTACTGAGTATACTTGGTGGACCAGGCTGTATAGTATAAAATTAAGCTCAGTAAGCTGTACTAAGCTCTATAATTCTGGTAACAGTGTATAACCCTGAATTATGTTCGTGACAAAAGATGAATATTTTTTAATTTGATTTTATCGACACGTTTTTCGAAAATATTAGGATGATAATATTATATGGATTATACATTATACAAGTAAAAACTAAATAATAATTTACGATGATTAATTTTTACTAATATTACGTGTATTAAACTATTAGTAGTAAATAATCTACGCTGTAAAATATAATTTAATATAAAAGAAGAGAGATAGAAAACGAGTAAAAAAACGTACAGGAAAATAAAAATTATGAACCGACAACTTTACTAGGTACTGTAGATCGCATACCTTATCGATGGATTCAGCAACAATATCATCGATGGAGAGACGTCTGTTGACGATATGCAAATCAAGTAAAGACCTGATGTATGTGCGATTTAGCAAATACGACTGGATGGATTGGTCGTTGAAAGCTGCATTGGAAGGTGCGAAAAGTGTAACATTTGGCATGGCGGTGAGTTTTTCCAAAAAATCGCCACCGGAATTCATAATCTCCTCGTAGAATCGGTGTAAGACACTGTCTTCTCTGTCCTGATAAACGAATAAAAAAATAATATATCATTACATTTGCTTGAACTCTATAATATTATGGTCCTGGTATTCATTAATCTAAGTCACAAAAAACTACTGTTGAGATTTCTAATAAGATAAACGAAACGAGTTTGCCGACAGTGACTACAATCAAATAATCCCCATCAATGAAAATAAAACTCAAATTGCATATTCTCGTGAATTTAATTTGAACAGTAGTTTTAAATTGGATATGCGAGTTTATTGTTATTATTATTATTATTTTAAACAATATTATGCTAATGCCGGGTTTCATGAAAATTATTAATGCGGTTCAATAAAATTTAATGGACCGACCATGGGCCACTAAATTATGTTTAAGGGTTTATGAGCTCGCTATTGATTCATTAAATGTTTAGTGATTGTCCATGCAACCCGGAATTAGAGTGTCAGAACCAAATAATTATTAAGGGTCAAAAATTTATGACACGGCAACCATACAATATAGGCCTTAAATAAAATAAAACAACTTTATAGGAAAAACGATAATCATGCCCCTTAGAATAATCAGATTTTAAACTTTTAAATTAAATAAATTATCCAAATTTACAATTTCCCGGGGTATGAGACTTTCTCCTGCGAGGGAAGATATTTAATTAAAAAAGAATCGGCTCCAACATCCTTAATGGATAACACTATAAACTACTCCAATATATAGGTAACACATGTAAATTAAGCTAATACAATTTAGTAGCTCACAAAAGTCTGGAAAATATACGGAAACTTTATTCAATATTAATGCAGAAAAAACATTGAAAGTAGGTAGGTAAATATTGTATTATATAGTTGTTTTTAAGACATATATTTGAGTACATAATATATTATAAAGAAATAACAACATGATATTACTTTCCTACAAAAAACAAATATAAAGTTTGTTTACCCACGTTTGTTTGTCAAATATATACAATTATGGTTACAATTTACCGCACATGGATGTATAAACACGCAATTGAGTATTAAGTAAATAAACCGTAAATTAGGTTAATTCTATACAATGCTGAGTACTCTAAATCTATCATGAAAACAAAATGCATAACCACTTATGTCTTATTTATTGTTTATCTTAATATAAATCTGTATTAAAATTTTTTATTATTTTTATTTTTAGTAAACAGTGAAATACATTATGCAATAAAAATCCATTAAAATTTTCTAATTTATTATAAATCATAATTGAACTGTCAATCCTACTTCCATCAATCCTATACTTTTTGATATTTAAATTAAACTTAAAAAACACGCTATTATTCAAAACTATTATTTTTTTTTCTTTTTCAAAAATAAAAAATGAATTTAAGATTGGTAAGGTACAACTATAGTGTCATCAAATTATAATTAATAGATAACACAATAACATAGTAAATAATCACGTGTTAATATGATTGTGTATATTTATAGTAATTTAGGATAAAAATAAAACAACATCAATAATAAAATGTGCTTACCTTATACGACTGCTTTTATTATATCCGGCAGCATCAAATATATGAAACAAATCAAAATTAAAATTTTATAATTTCAACTTACTTTTTAACAAAATATTAACATTAACTGACCTCAATGAATTGTTTTACATTGTTATCCACGATCATCAATGGTCTACTAATCAAATGGACCACACCATTTCTGACAGGTATATTGGCTTTAACAATTTCTGCTACTACAGCTCCAGTCGGGTGGACATCATCACCGACAACAGTATCACTGCTTACGTAATCTAAAAAAAAAAAATAATATGTTTAAAAAAAAATACCACGAGTATGAAACAGATACAATTTTCAAATACATAACGAAAATAAAAAATTTAAAAAAACTACTTCTTATAAGAATAAAATTAACTATGATTTTATATTATGTTATATATTCAAATAAGATGCATAATATAAAACAAAATACGTAATGAGAAACACTCGTGTAACACATAAAGTATAATAATTACACATTTAATTCACAACTTTCAAATTCAATTTAAATTCTATATGACATGACTTACATTTAGTTTTATCTCCTTCTGCAGCTTTAGATAAAGACGCAAATACTTTAATCATGTCAGTGAATGCTAAAGTTTTAAATTGTTCTTCTTCGTTGGTTGGTCCCAAAAACAATACATTATCCGGAACAATGTGGGCGTCAATCACTTTCACGTCGATTTTTTCAGGTTTTACTTTTGGATACTATAAATGCAATTAAAACATAAGTCAGACCGATTAATTAATTAATTTAGATTAACTACCTAATTAAATAATTCTAAACATTTTCATTTGTCATAAAATATAATGTGTAGACATATATTAGGATATTGAATTATATAAATTTTAGATTACTTAATTTATTCATTTTATATTCCATCTTTATGTTAATTGTTTATAGCATTTTAAATCCATTGTTCATTAAAAAAAAGTTACTTATAAATAATTAACATAAAAAAACATGTATTCTAAGTTTGAAGGATAATAACATTTTATTATTCCCGAAATTTAAAATATAAAATATAATATAATTTCACTGTTACAGTGCCATTTAGATTTAGATTTGGAAACGGGTTCTCTCCAAAAATCAAGTAGATCATTAAAATCATTAAAAAACTCTGATCATAATAATTCACTCTTGAAATCATAACTCAGTCACGATATAGACAATGACGTATAGGCTAACGTAATATTGATAATTTAGAAGCATATTATCTTCAAAAATAAAGCTTAGCTACTCCTTTATCATAACAATGTTCAATAATGGTGAAAGCTAAGACCTACACGATTTTAGACAATGAAAACTCTCGAAACTATTATTGCGAATTTAAATGAATTATACATAATTATAAACTAATACTATAAACTATAAAGTGTACATAATATCGAATTGATTAAAAATAACAGTTGTAGAGTGTTGGTAATATCAATAAAATTAACATTCAAAGATTTTAAAAAAAACCACTATTTTAAATCTTGAAATGTAGCACTTTTACAAATATGAAACTAAAAGAGACAGTCGTGATGAATAATATAATATTTTACCGTCATTATTTTGTACACATAGGTACTCAAATATGAAAACTTTTAAAATTATAGTTCGTGATCATATTACCTACCTAGTATGTATATAATGTCAAGGGCGGTAGTTTATTTTATGGGACACACAAAAATAGTATAATGGCAATGTGTGAAATAGATATTATTACATTTCAGTCCATCTTTTAAAACTATTTATCAACCTAACAAAGACTTCTATTTTGTTACGAATGATAATATTATTTTTCTACCCACGAACACAATATGGAATAAAATATAAATTATATAGGTAATATAATATATAAACTTACATTAGCCACTTCGTCCACGGGTATGAAAAATGTATGTCCACCTTGATTGGAGAACACGCTCTTCTTATCCAGATTTTGTACCCGTTGCAAAAAAGTACTAGAAAATAATTAAATTAAATTAATATACCTCAAAATATGAATAAATATTAAATAGATAATGTATCATCCACCTATATTTTTCCTTAAGGTATATTTTTAAATTATAGACGCTATTATCATCACATTATCTCATTGGCCAATTTATGTGTTTTAAAAAAAAAAATATTTCAATTTAATTCTAAGCATATTTAAGTAGGTACATTACGTTTTTACGTAAATTAAATATACGTTTCATTTTATTGCTATATTCCACGTTACAAAACCCCACAACCTTAATGGTTAATTATGGTAAAATTATGTTAAAAGAAAACTTTTTTCATTATTTTATATACACTTGAAAACGTATTTTTTTTCTTTAGTACCTAGATATTTTCTTTAAAAGTTAAAGAGAACTGAATAGAGAAAATAAAACATTTAATATACATATTATAATTAAATATATATGCAGCTTTCAACACTCCAACTAACTAATATTATTTTTATTTAAAACCAAGGAAATAGCCAATTTGGTGACGACTTAGTTATTATTAGGTAAGTATCGGTTACAAGAAAATATAAATGTTGATATTTTCATTTTTTTTATACTTAATTTGTAAAATATTAACAGTCGTAAAATGACTCTTGAATTTGATAATTTATTTCCCTAATGCAGTTTATTACTTAAATTAGATACACAATTATGCTGATAAATGTAAAGGAACGGGTACGATCTGTATTTAACGATTTGCCAACGATAAACAGGATGTACGGGTAAAAATGCGTGGTATGCCCCTGACCGAGGTGGTATGGAGACCCCTCAATGAGGTAATTAAACATACTATGGAAGTGGGTGTAAAGGACTGAAGCGAAAACGATTAAATGTAATTAAAAGAAACAGTGCAAGAGGAAATGAGTCGTACAAGACAAAGCGGTCTGCTCTTCAGCTCGGAGACAATTTTCGGACGACGCCCGTACGTAAAATATATATCTATATAATAATATGTAACTGCGATTTCTAAATATTAACGTTGCACAATACTTGTTTTGTTAATATCCTAGAACTACTATACTTGAGATTCGCAATTTAAATTTGTAGTTGTTATTTAAATTCTACTATACACAAAAGTATACCTTGGTAGCAATAATGTTTTAAAAAATCAATAAAAAAGTTCATGCGTACAAAAAATACTAGAAAATAATTTACCAAAAAGGTGTAATTAAAATAATATTTTTACCATTACCTACATAGTAAATTGTTTTTAGAAACAATAAAAAATATTTGACAACGATAAAAAAAATTGTTTCTTAACCTACAAATGATAACTATTGTTTTATAATCTGTTTTGGAGTTGGACTAGAATATAAGTGGACATCAGTCATCACCCATCAATGTTTCCGCGGAGAAAATCTTAACGAGACTTGTAGATAATTTAAACCACAAAATATAATTTGAAAAACCTCTATTATAGGTCTGTGTTTATTATAGGGTTTATTCTATTGTAATAATCATGGTCAGAAAAAAAGAAACTTGATATTACTCAGAAATAGAAATTTTGAAGTTGAACGTTAAAATAATTAGGTACAACGCTAATTTAATTAATTGTACCTACTATGTAAAATATTAATTGAAGAAGAAATATTTAAAACTAAACATACATACCGGGAAAATAATATATACCGAAATTGTGCAAAAAATCAACACTTCATGTATAGAGGCTTATGACTTTTACGTTTAGTTGTTAAAACTCTGCGTACGCATTTATTTTACGCAAACATAACATGGTAAATTGCTTATGTCGAATATTTCCAGTACAGTATTATTACTGTACATAAAATTGAAATGCATTTGTAAAAGAAAACATTAGCGATATATCAGTATCGTATGGATTTTGAATTAACATAATGTTTTCAACTTTTAACGTTGAGATAATGATCATGATGATTAAAACTATGTAGTTTTATGATTTTAGTTTCGTGCCACTTATCTATACATTGAATAATATATACAGTGTTTCACCGTGTTTATCCTCGCACAACAATATTTTCTCCTATGTAAATGGCTCACTTGTACTAGGAGACTATTGCACACTATACATGAATATTAAATGGAAATTAAGCATTTAAGTTTTAATACAATTAGCTTATTTAAGAGCTCAATTTTTTGAATAGCATAAAAATCAAGACTTTAATATTTAAAAAAAAAAATTGTTAACTGTAACAAACACAACACCTATTCATAAATGTGATAAGTTCTCTCAATAAAAATGATTTATTATATTTTTTAACTGAGGAGACGAATTTATAATTAATCGATTAAATCTGGTGTATTTTTTATAAGCGTATTATATAATTACTTAGTGTGGTAACTATCTAAATCCAGGAATTCAGCATTTTCCATGAATTCCCATGCATTAGGGTTGTAGACATTTTGAGGGCTATTTTTCTTCATTCGCAGAGGTTGGAGAACTTGGTCAATGACGTGCAATACCTATTAATAAACAAAAGTTAATAAATATATTTATTGATATTGAAAACATAATATTATGCTATCTAACGCGTTCTTACTTGAGGTTTTCCAAATGTATTATTGTGTTCATAATTAGCCAAATTATAGACGACTTTAGCCTGGTTAACGTAAATCTCTTCTGGACTTTTCTTTGTAATCCAGATGGGCGGATTACCATCTAGTTCAGAAAATACCGACTTTCCCAATTGTTCCAATTTCATTGGTACATTTGCTGTAAATTTAAATGAACATTTTAGCTTATTTATTTTGATAAATCAAATAACTTAAGAGCTACAAAAATGATTTTGTAAAGTAAACAGTTGGAAAATCCCATAATACTGAATAAAAATATAGATCGTACTAGTTAGCCGACTGCCGTGATCGATATTATAGAATAAAAATGACTATTTATTATGAAAATGAAAAACCACAAAGTATAATATTATAAGTTTTAAGCACTAGGATAAAAAAAAATTATTCTAGTAAGATTTAAACTAAGTGATGCTGATCCTGGTGCTTTAAAAGCCATTACATTTTTTTATTTAAAATAACCAACTATGTAACAATGAATTTATTATACCAAAAAAGTGTTTAATAACGACTATAGAAGGAACCCTTGTCATAAATAAATCTTTTTCGTGTATCCGTGATTCATGAAATAAAAAAAATATATATGTATAATATAATTTGTATTTTATCTTCAAATATTATGATAATATATAATAGCATTTTTTTCGATCTAATTTTTTAGCAACTTTTTTATTTTTTTCTGCTGGAAGACCCGAGAATAAGTTTTGATTATTTTCAATATTTTTGAGTTAGATTCTATAAACCCATGAATTTTTCTATTGTAGTAAATATTAATTAATAACATTTAATAATTATTTACATTATTGTCTTTGTGATATTACTTTGTTTTATTGTCATTGAATTAAATGTATATTCTCTACACTTCTCGATGTAGGTCTAATATACATATATGCACTGCTTTTGCTTTGTTGAACTTCATGTATATAGGTACGAATGAACATTTCGATATTTGATCTAATTTTTGATTCCGATTTCTGTTTGAACAAAATATTTTATAACTCCGAGTCTCTGCGCATATTCTATATGTATAGGAATGCCAGTATAATTTCATCCGCATGTGTCGACCGTTTAAGTGAACAACAGTTTTCGTGAAGATGTACAATTTTAAATCACGTAAACAATGTGCAAGGTGACACCACGGTGTGGCCCAAACAAATGTGTCAAGAAGGACGCGCGCGTGTTCCATCCCCAGGCCACACGCACAATGACCTTACATTATAGAAAATACTAACAGCGTTTATTCATACCGGTACAAAACAACTTGCATGTGCAGTATCCACCTGGGAGATTTTAATTTCTAATAAGCGTACTCGCACCATGTCAAATAAAGGAATTCTGAAGTTCCTTGAAAAATATAGACGCAAAGAATGGAGGTAAAAAAAAACTAAAAATAATTATTATTGTACTATAACAATACTATGCGTTAGGACCCGTAAAATAAGTAGGTAGAGCATAAATGTTTTATAAAAATAAAAAAAAACACGTACGGAATAAATTATATTGACAAAAAAACAAACACTGTGTGTCGGCACTGGAAGATAAATTTAGCATTTAAATTGTGATTTTATATTATGTTATATAATATGTAAATAAATGAAATACAAAAATTGAACACAAAAACTAAAAGTAATGTTTTCGTACACCTACATATTTTTCCAACGTAAGCCAAAACATTCAGAAAATACACATCCCCAAAAAATTAAAACCATTCGAGAAATGGTTTATTGAAAAGCGAACTCTCAATATACCTATTATTACATTATAACATGGTATTTTAATAACTGATAATAATCATGAAGCTGTAAATGCCAACATACACTTCCGAAAAAATAAAAAATCCAAATATTGTAAAATTGTGTTCACTTATATTTTTAACAACATGGTCAAATATTCACATACCGTGTAGAATGTGAACCTTATAACTATAGGTAGCTAGTACCTACCTACCTCTATTTTTTTTTTTTAGTTTTTTATACTGCTTTAAAAAATACTAAATTGCATTTAAATATTTCTACATAGGTACCTTCCCAACTGAATGTACTTGTTGACATGCCAGTACAAAACAGGGAAGTTATATATGTAGTGTAGGTACTTGTGGTAAACCAGTGATTGACTTTGCTCGTAACATGTAACGATGGCGTCGCATAGACATTAATAATAATATACAATTACATTATACCATATGTGCGCATACAACGGTACTTAAAAAAGAAAATTCTACGGACGATACGATCCGGCTGTCGCGGTTTTAACGGACAAACGCGTTTAAAACCACCGGTCAAGGTGGTCTGAACTTCGGTGTATAGGTACTGTCGTTATTAAGCCCAAAGCCCGTGACACTCTGGTAAGTTAATGCACCGTAACATCCTAATACACTTCCTTTCATCTGAATCTACCCCTCGTTTTGTGAAAACTGAGGATCATTGTTTATAATTTATATGAAAATAAAATATATTATTTCCTTCCCAATGTTTATATTATGTGCCACCCTCGTGTTTACTCATAATAATTGGTCTCACTTTAAATCATATAAGGTTCATTTATATCGTGTAGTTAATATTATAGTTTATTATAATATTATTTTTTATGTATATGATCATAAAGGTTATATACCTGATAAAAGGAGTAATTTAAAATCGACAAGAAATTATCGACAGTTACTATGACTAAGACGGTTGTTAACGTATGTGCATTGTGCAGTATGTCTAATACGAACATGGTATTCTACAATAGAAAATATATTTTACTGGAAAAAATTTTAAATCAGTTTAAAAGAATCTTTAACAAAATGACCAAATAACAATGTACAAAGCTGTCATTTTTTTTCATAAAAGTAATAATAGCTATTTACTTCAAAAAAAAAAAAAAATTTACACTAAATAAAAGAAAGTGCAAAGTACATTATTATTTTATTTCAGTGCCCCGTGGGGATTAAAAATGTTTATCCGAGCCCTATTAACGAGTACTACTCAACCAACCATATCCTTTGGGAGTGTTTATATACGATGTATTTCATATATTATTTACACAACCAAAATTGTAGTGGGAAATCGCTAAAAAAAAAACCCCACTGTAAGTTATACTCACTAATATGGTAGCACGGTAAATATTCATCGTCGCTCTCTTGTTTAGTTATCTTCAAAAACGCTTCGTTGTGCGGAGCAAACACTGTAACACTTCTTAGATGTATCGTCGTGTTGGCAATTTGATTTCTCTCGATTATACTATAGATCTGAAACGATACATAAAATACATTTTAGATTAATATAAATACACTTTTGCGGTATAGGTAGGTATTTGAAGTTATTATTAAGATTCTCATACTGTTAAACAATTATCACAGTGACAATAGGGAGGTGTCTAATCACTGGTAGGTATAAATGCACGAAGAGCACTACGCCTGTTATACCTCGTTTATTGATAATTGGTAGCCTTATTAGTTATTGGAATATTAAGTGTCAATAAAAAAAAGAAAGAAAACGTTTCCGTTGACTGTATTAAAATAGTTCACGAGTAATATTTATTACTATTATCTATAACAACGAATCGCGGCCGAAAATTGTAATACATCGCAAACAGCGTGTTATTTATTAATTCTGATGAGTGATGAAAGACAAACGGATTCAATCACAACCATACGATTACTTTTTAAATACTTATATAATTGCACAATTGAATACTTAGGTTTGCTGAGACAAACAGTTTTGAAATCAAATACAAAATGTCAGACTTACATCATTTGATCTTATCGTAAAAACAAGGAAACATTTACACACATATATACATATGTATAATAATAATAATACGATAATTAAACAGTCTACTGAAAAATATGTTTGTTCTTTCGGAATCATACCTACATACAGTACCAGTACATATAATATAATATAACGTAGATATTACGATTACAATATTAGATAAACAAATAATTCTATAGATAAAGCCTTTGGTAGTATTAGACGTTGTGTAAGTTTTAGTGTATTTAGAGCTTTTGATGGGAAGGAAAATAACAGACCAATGATAGAGTTTAATTTTGAAATTAATTTCGATAATATATTAGAAATAGATGAGAGACGAATTCTTAGTGTTGTCTTTGGTTCTTTTTGCACAAGATCTTTTCTTAAAACGTGTATGACCGAATGATAAATTGTTACAATATTTGGGGGCTTTGATGTAACATTATTTGACGATCTAACCTTATATAGGGTGATTCTGATTTTTGAAAGATTAAAAAATTGTTGTAACCTCTATAGTTCCTAGGATGCGATTGAAACATAAACAAATCTGGTCGGTATCTCACGAGTATTAACGCAATCCCCATTAGTCATTGTAATATGAATCATACACGTCATGAGATACGTCAACCGTGGAGTAGGTGCAGGGTACTCTACAATCTACATACAGAATTCATATTGGCACATTGCACATGAACAATGGACACAAATAATATAACGATTCATACCTACTATTTTTTTTATTTAAATACGATGGCAAAAAAATTTTTAAAAAATACCTACTATAACGTCTTGTATAGTATATATTTTAATAAAAGAATAAAATAGTGCGATAATAACAGTCCATGATATTATAGTGATACTGAAGTGACATCTGAATAATTAAAATGGAAAATAGTTGATGAATCATTGCACACTTTCTGTGGTTTACAAAAATTAAAAATACAAATCACAATTCATTTTTCATTATAAAGTATTATAAATTATTCATTTATATAGTTTATATAGGACGCCAATTCAATATGTAAATTTAAATTCGACCTAACATGGGCAAATATATACACGACAAATATTTTATTATTTTTATTTATAATGAATATTATAGATAATTAATACTACCTAATTTAAGTAAGTAAATCTTATAAAAATTTTTAAATTAATCGTCACAAACATAAAACGGTTAAGATTGAATAAATCTTGTAATTATGTACGATTTTTGCAATGCATAATATCAATTATGAATATTGAGACAAAATCTAAAACATTTCAACAATTAATATTGATGCTTAAGTTGATAATTCAATAAACAAATGAAATATATACGTGAGGTTTTCCCTGTATATAAATATGTAATTCATCTCGGGTCGAAAAAAAAATGTTAACACAATTCAAAACTTTACAGAAATATATTTTCAACTCACTACGACGCTACACAATAAAACAGTTTTAAAACTTTTAACTAACATTTAAATCCCACTGAAATTAGCATTAATATTTATTTCATTATTTATTCTCTCTTTTTTTTTTTGTTCACACTTCTAAACCATTTGTGATCAATTTTTCATACAATTTTAAAATACTTAAATAAATATTTAATTTAAACCTGCACCATACCCAAAATAATCTATATAACAACAGTCAATTGCGTTTTAAGGCATATCTTGTACCTTTATTAAATAACACCAAACCAAAAAGTTGATTATTAATAAGCACGCAACCCGATCTCGGTGGTTGCGTGCATGTACGAAAACAGGGTAAATAATGATAATTAAACAGCTAGGGACCATTATCTGGATTGCTTTTTTTTCATAGCCCAACAGGCGAAGCTAGTAAAAATATGACTAATGTTCCGGCAGCCTTGTACCACCATTAGGCTATGGTGTTGACAGGCCAATTTTTTGAGATGGGTTCGAAGTGCAGGTAACCTACTCTACTATAATAAAACCAGACCAAAAGAAACAACGCCTTAGATGTCTGTCAGTCAAGTCGATTTTATGGACTCTCAAAATGTTCTATTAATGGATACTCATTTATTACATTATTTACTAGCGCCAATAAAATGTAAGATTATATACAGCAAGCTACAAATCCTATTAACCCCACAAAGCATAGATTTACAATACTTGATATTGTAAAAACTCGTTTCAGTCTGTAAGATACAAATAAACAATATATCACACAACAATATCCTCTGCAAATAGCAATTTATTTATTAAAACGCCATACCTAGTTAAGGTACAAAATATACAAGCATCAGATTTTAAGATTGTGTACCGTTCTTCGTTCAAAAATCATAGATTACATCCGTGACCCGTCTTTTATTCACTATTTATAATATCACTTTTTATCGCCACCATTGTTTGAGAAATAATCGCATAAATAGCTTTTAATCTCGAATCTATTAGCCGTGGGTATTATAAATATTATGCCAGTGATTTCATATCCATACCCCCTGCACGGCAGTATTAACAACGAGCTGGGAACCCCTTGTAGGGCAAACGGGCCAACACGTAGAAAACTCTAACCCTTGAGTTAAATCGATACCGCCGCAGAGAATGAAAGTTTCATTATTAGCTCTCTTAATCTTGGGAAAATCAGTGTGCACATTGTGATGCTATTAGAATAAAATTGTAATACTTGTACACAAGTATCATTGGCGTTGATAGTTTTCTTTACAATAGGTTCTACGTTGAATACTGCCAATTTTGGAAAAATACTTTTCAACATAACTACTATTTTGCAAATACTTATGATTACAATATGATACATACTATTTCGTCGCCAAAGGACTAAAGACAATGATATTATATTCTGAACAAAAAAATACTCATGGGAGTCCACCTTTAATGTTTTGTATTATGTGCATAATATATAAACATTAAACAACGGAACAAATTAAAATATGGTTTTGCCGATCATACAAAGAGACATCACAATTATAAAAGACGGACAAACAAATGCTTTTATTTGAAATTTTCGTATTTATCGTGTATTGTTATTAAAAGCTTGTGAATATTTGTCAAGCCTTATTATGCTTATTTTTTTACTCTATTCGGTTATTAGAAAAAACAATTAGATAAATAAACAAATTTTATACCATTTAAGATACTTATTGTTTTAACACGTTTGACATTATTGAATGGCATAGAAGGAACATTTATTCGGAGAAATAGCAAAATAAAAAACATTTGATTAGATGTACGACAATAATCGGCAGATAAGCTTAGGAGTCCAACAGAATTCTTTATTTTTAGTAGCCAACAACAACATACATTTCATAAAAAAATAAATCGTAATATGTGATAAAAAGATTTAAAAATATAGTCAACTATAAAGAAAGATCTAACACAGTAAAATAAATTATAATAGGATATGAACAGATGTATCCAAGACATATACAAATGTACAATTTTGAATAGGAAATTGATTTGAAATACCGGTAGTGAATGAGAATATCTGAAAGGCGTGGTAGATTTTGACTCGTCGAGGTCACATGAGTTAGTTAACAATTATTATTAAGTACATAAATGGGATGGAATGTTGCCGTTATAATTGAAAATCTGCCAAACAATACAAAAACTTAAGAACTGCAAAAACATTCAAAGCACGTTTAAATTTGAAAAAAAAATAAACTAATAATTAATGAACAATAAATGCACTGCAGAAAAAAAATTAAAAAATCTAAAGAGGTTGAATTTATTTTATACTACTTAAATGTAGTATTACATTTATTATTTTTTTTTTTTGTAAAGCTATGAACTATTAACTATGAAAATTAAACTAAGTTAACAAATGCACTTAATTGGTATTTTTTTTTCAAATCCAGCAAAGTAGCAAGGTCATAAAAAATTATTATTCATTAATTTGTGATGAATCATCAATTTACAACAACTGCGCATGTGTCATACTCAGAGGTGTTAGTAAATTCTATGCGTGGGATATGTAAGTTCTTCAAAAATTTCAAAAAAAAAATATAGAAAAAGAACTTTTTTACCGTGTATTGCTCAATATACTGTATAATTTAATTTTTAACCTTTTACAATTTATAGAGAAAAAAATCAAAGGAGTTCCAATATTTTACTTTTACAGTACGATCACGTAACCAGAAGAGCTTACGACTTTTTTATTTTTAATGCTTTATCATAAATTATTAAAAGATTCCTCCGGTGTTATTTTATTTGTACACTGCCGGAACTGTAGATCGAACTTAATTTCAAACAAAATACAGTAATAATATATCTGAAATAAATTCAATTTATAAAATATAAGTAACAATATAATATAACACTTATATAATTACATGAATAATTTGTACTAAAACGAATAACGATATACAGACAAGTTGGTAATTGATAAAATGTTATATGACATAATTTTCGTAACAGTTGAAAATAATATATATGAGATAAGTTTAGAAAAACATAGACCCACATAAGATGATAATTTTGTTCACGACTTTTATCCAATTGTATACGTTAATCCGTGACATCTATTAAAA